TTTAAACCAAATTTTGTAATGAAGAACTTTGAGTTTCTGTGTGACAGTTTCATGAAATTAAATAGTAAAATGCTGGTGAAGTGACTCACAGCAGCTTTAGAGATAAAGTTCATGTGTGGCAGATGCAGAAAACACGAGCAACCTGCGTGCTTGAGTACAGACTTTATAGTCTTCATTTTGCAGTTCAGTATTCACAGACACTAGTCCGTATTGCGATTTGATTAAATATACAGCCCTACTTTAGATTTAACCTATCCATTCAAATTTTGCCAAATTCTGTGACATTCCACATTATACAGTAAATTCCATTTTAACAGTATTACTGGAATCCACAGTTCTTCTGCATTTTCTGCATTGTGGAAATCACAGGGGCCTACTATATTTTTATACTGCTATTATTACCCCTATTATTATTATTATTACAACTGCTATTATTACCCCTATTCTAAAAAAATCAGGGACTGATCCATCAATTTTTGAAAATTATCGACCAATTTCTAATTTACCATTCATTTTTTAAATCTTGGAAAAATGTGTTGCATCTCAAGTTCACAATCATCTCTCCAATAATACATTGTTTGAGCAATTCCAATCCGGTTTTCGTCCTCATCATAGTACAGAGACTGCTCTTGTCAAAATTACTAATGATTTGTTATTGGCAGCTGATTCTGGTTTGTTAACAATACTTGTCCTTCTTGACCTGACTGCGGCTTTTGACACGATCTCGCACAAGATACTCCTGGACAGGTTAGTTTCAATAGGGATTACTGGCACCCCACTTTCCTGGTTTAGGTCTTATGTTACCGGTCCCACTCAGTATGTTCAAATTAAACATTTTAAATCAAGGCCATCTACAGTTACTACTGGTGTCCCTCAGGGTTCTGTTTTGGGCCCACTGTTATTCATCATCTATTTACTTCCTCTTGGCTATATTCTCAGGAAATATGGTATCCATTTTCACTGCTATGCCGACGACACCCAGCTCTACCTGTCTTCTAAACCCTCTAGTTCTTTTCCTCCACCTTCCTTGACTCTATGTTTAGCTGAAATTAAAGAATGGCTTTCAGCCAACTTTCTAAAACTCAACAGTGATAAAACTGAGGTCTTACTTATCGGTACAAAATCTACTTTGACTAAATCTGATTGTTTTACAGTGGATATCGATAATATTGCAATTTGTCCTTCTCAGCAGGTTAGGAGTCTGGGTGTCATTCTGGATAGCACACTATCTTTTGAAGCTCATGTCAATAATATTACGCGTACTGCGTATTTTCACCTGCGTAACATTAATTGCCTTCATGCCTCTCTCAAATTATGTTTAAGGTGAACTATTCCTATAACCATTGCTACAAACAGACCTCAGTACGCAAATAAAAAGAAACATAATAGATTATTAATAGATACTGATTGGTCTGAATGGTAGAGCAGCTAAAGAGGCATTTGTGTGTATCAGGGTGAATTTGCTTTTTGTTTAGCCTGACGCATATTCATTTCAATCTTGGTATGAATAGACCATTCAGATGACTGAAACCATATACAGAGGTAGTCACAAATGCATGTGACCACATCGCATTTGTATTGGAAACGCTATACGCCCTGAATAAGTCCTAGGCAGCAGTGAAGCACTACTTACTGCCTCATCACATAACATATAAACGTTATGGGACAAGAAGCACAACAAAATAATTCAAACTGCACGCTGTGTTAGCTACACTGCTTTTCCTTTTCTTTTTAAATGTTTAATGTAACAGGGCTTTGTCCATTTGAATGAATTCAAATGTAATATTTACTACATTTCCTAATGTGCTTGGACCCCAAATTTTGCTGCTATATTTAATTCATTTTTATTTTTACTTTTTTAATTATCTTATATCAATAAGGAACTGCTTTTTCCCCCCTTTTACTGTTCTATAAAATTTCGTTTCCAGGTAAACTTGCTGATAATTGGGTGATAATACAATCATAAAACTCTGAGTAGCGTCTATGTCACAATGTTTCTTGACTGGTCTTCGAGAGCTAGCATTTACCTGTCAAAGATACAAATCCATTCATTATGAACTGCCCATCTTCACACGTCTGTTGAGAAGCTAACAACTCTAGTCCTTCCAACTGCGGTGAGGATGGCATTAATAAACCATTTCTTACAGTAAAAACAAACAGGTGAGGACATGGACTGCAGAAAAGACAGAAAAAGCACTTCTGAAAACCAGTGAATGCTGCTAAAAGATGGAGAGCTATGTGAATTGAAATATTCTTATGTGTAAGAACATATTCATCAGCTAAAGCAGCAGCGGACCGACTCAACTTTTTGCTCATTTAAATAGGTTGCATGCAGTTTTTAAAATCTTCAGAAAGAATCAGTGTATGAATTTTCATTTTGGTAAAGCAATTATACACTCTTAGAAGAGCCAACTTGTTTGTAATCAATTCGAAATATAAAGAAAGATAGGTTTTACCCACAAAAACACACTGCAATTGTCACAATTCACTGGAGCACGGGCACGAGGAAACATGGAGATTTCACAGAACGAGAGTCTTTTAATGATCCAATAGGGAGATACAGAGCACAAGGATGACATTCACAACAAGTAGACTCGACAAAGGAAGACTGAACAAATAGGAACTTAAATACAAGGGATGATTACTTAACACAGGTGCACAGAATGACTATTTAACTAAACAAGGACAGGAACATGACCAAAAAAGGGAACACAGGAACAGAAACAGGAGCAAAACATAACAAAACAGGTCCATGACCCTGACAGCAATAACATAGATCAAAATGTTTTTAAGATTTCTCAGATTGCTGGCAACATGTTCAAAATAAGAAAAACATTTGTCTACCTCTACTACCTCCTCAAAAAGAGGCATCATTATGTTTTCATCCACTTACAGGTTATAAAGTTTACTGGAGCTATGTAGGCGCTCAATTTTTCTGTCATTTGACAAAAATCTCATGTTTTAAAGACGAAGTGCTACACCCAGTCTATTTAAGACTAATTGATACTTGCTATGACTGACGACAAATGCTAGACTAAGACACTCTGCTCCTCAAAAAGCATGGAACCTTGGCCTTTATATTTATAGTATTTATTGAGTAAAGAATATGCTGTAAATTTTCAAACAACCATTTCTTTATTTACCATTGCATTGCAGAAATGGTCCAAAATGTGTGTGCTTGAGTTAGGTTTAGTTACAAGCTCTTTTTTAAAGGGGTCATATGACGTTGCTTAAAAATAAATGTATTTTGTGTATTTGGTTTAATGAAATGTGTTCATGCGGTTTAAGGTTCAAAAAACATTATTTTCCACATACTGTACATTATTGTTTCTCCTCTATGCCCCGCCTTTCTGAAACGCGTCGATTTTTACAAAGCTCATCGGTCTGAAAAGCTAGGTGTGCTCTGATTGGCCAGCTATCTAGTGCATAGTGATTGGCTGAATTCCTCGAGCGTGTGACAGAAATGTTACGCCCCTTACCATACTGTGATGCCGTGTCCCGGTGTGACAAGACAAAACCAAAAAAAAACATTATAAACGAGGCATTTGTTGCATCCAGTGGGGACATATTTACTGATTATAATGACTTATACTGTCTTTTTACACGTTGCATTGTGTATCGCGCCGTGTAAACGTAAAACCATATCTGCATTTGTGATTGGAGAAACGACAAACAACAAGTGCTACTCTACACTGCCCAAAACTCACGTTTGAATCATCAGTGGCAAATCCTTTAAATATAAAAACGTACTTACATGCTGTGAGTCAGAAGCACCAGACTGCTCTACACTGCTCATTGTCAGTGGCAAATCCTTTAAATATGAAAATGTACTTACAGGCTGTGAGTCAGCATTATTTGTCAGCATCATAGACTGTATAGGGTCAGCATGCGTGCCGAAGGGGAAACAGGGGAACTGAATTCACCGGAACACCGGCATTGTAGGCTACTCTCCCAGGAAACAGTCCTCGTCCTTCGTAAAATGCGTTGCTCACATCTGAATATTTGGTTTGAACTGTTCTGGAACAAAACTTAACCACTGATTTCTAGTTGTGTCCTCTTGCTCTTTTGGAAGGCCAAACAAAGTAGCTTCGCTTTCACAACAAAACACACAACGTCTCCACGACATGGCGGCGGCAACAATACTACAGCGAGAATCAAAGTTACGCCTTCTTTCTTTGCGTATACATTTGGGCGGTGTTATGCAAATCTTCCCACACAGTGACATAAACACGTGTGGGGGCGTGTTTGAACGAGCCGTTTTAGGGGGGCGTGGACCAGTCTTAACTTTTATAAAGAATATCTCTTTGGGTTTGAGACTTTAGTCTTTGCAACTTTAGGGATCTTATCTATTCACGAACAGCTTGTAACACTCCAAAGAGCAAGGAAAACTTGAAATCGCATCATATGACCCCTTTAATACTTTCCATTGATTAAATATTTGCAAAATCCACAGACAAACGTAAAGGGTGACCAACAGTAATGAACAGTGAGCACGTCAAATTCATAGAGAGCTTTACTCAGTGTATTTTACATTTTAGTCGCCTCTGAAATGGGTCAAAGCACAGATAACACCCAAGAAGTTTAAGAAAATATGTTACAAATCTGCTTTCTTTCAGGCTATATCTGAAATGGATGTGCACTGTTCAGTTGAATGATAAGGTTTACCTACGGTTTATCTGTCTATTTGATGCATGTGAAAGTTGTGTTCGTTACTATAGCCCTTCCAGAGGGCCTCGCACACCTCAATTTCACACAGGGCCTCACACCCCCTTGCGATGGCCCTGGTTATGACTCAAAATCAGAAGTGTCTGTTGCATTTTTTCAGAAGCTTTCAATTTGATTTATTTCATATGGCAAGCCTGTTTGATCTGAAGCTTTTCAGTTTAAGTTTGTGTCTCTTACCCATTCCTCTCTCTCCCTTAACCTTCTCCCTTAAACTTTTTTGTGCTCTTTAGTATAACAGAGTTTGATGTAGGCTTATTAAACATCATGTTACTCACTGGGGCAGCTGAGGGCTTCTTTTGCAGTGATGCTCTTGTTGCATGCCGAGCAGAGTGTGGTGGCAGAAACACTGAGGGAAGTAAACAGGTGACCATTGCTGTAACGCGACTCACGCTCCTTTGTCTCTTTCTCCCGTGCCTTCCGCTCTTTCTCTTTGTTCTGCACACAGAAGAGTTAAGAAAAAGATGAGTTGTGCAAAAATCACATCATAGCATACCACCATTCACTACAATCATAGCATTCACCATTCACTATAATGAAAGTCACGTTGTGTGGGACCAAAAATCAGTGAACTCTCACTGCTGTGAATTCCTATGTATTTACAGACACTCTGCACATCAAATGATGTAAACAAGAAATGATTAAAAGTCAATTAGTTAATAATAAGGTAACAATACGTGGATTGCAAGAATAATAAGAGGATTTACGACTACGCACAACGCATGTTGAACAGAAACTTGGTTTAAGCAGAATTGAGTGAATTCTGACTTTACTGTATTGTGTTGTTTCTCACGTGTATTCTTAGACTTGACTTGTATGTATTTAGTTATAGGCTATGTTTGCACATGTTTAACTTGATGGGGTTGTCTTTTTGGTTTAGAAAATGGAAGCCATCCAGCTAGTTATTATCGTACAACAAAGTGGTCTTGTATCACCCTGAAGAGGTTTATTCTATGATAAGTGTTAATGTACATAATCCTGCTTATTACTATGTAATACTATAAATAAATGGACACAAAATATGCGAGTAGAAATATTTTATTAGCTCACAACTCAAAGTTTCCACTAAAAATAATTTGTCTATGGGTCAAGATGAACGAAAAAGTTAAAAAAAGACCACTTTAAGTGATAGTGTACAGTCAAACCACTTATTACATGGCTTTTCACCAAATAAATAACTATGTGAACATTAAATTGAGTTTGTTTTAATGTCTTATTTGTTTATTATGTTATAATCTGTTCAAATGTACAAAGCAATCGTCCTGGCAACAAGACAAACACTACAATAATATTACATTATTGTAAACACTGAAGTCCTCAGATTTCATTTTCAAAACAGTTGATAAGTGAGATGCAAGATGGCATCTGTGTTAAATGAGAGACATGAAGCCTCAATCAGAATCAAGCATTTCAGAGCCATGTAATAAACAAAAATAACAAGACAAAGTATCTGTTATATAGTTTCCGCCCAAAGATGTGGTTTGCAGCTATTTTTAGTTTAATACTTTTTTTAGATATATTATTATTTTCTTTTTTTTAGAAATATGACAACAGCAACCTATCCTATACAGACAATGCACCGTCAGAGGATATTCACAAATATTTTATACACAAATACATGATATCAGATAATGAAACATTTTAGAATAGAACAAAATGGTTGTTTAGCATGTGGCATCATCCAGCAGGAAATACACTGAGCTGTTTTTATATTCTTCGCTTGTGTAAATGTGTGAGAAATTTCACAGGACATGATCTAAGAGGATGTTAAAGAGAATTGTTCAGACTATATATTGACTTTTATTTTCAATAGGAAGCGTGTCATTTGTTAAATATATCTGTTTAAAAATAATGAACACTTTGTATGATATGCTATAATGCTTCCCTAGTTGATCAATTAGTGCAGAAAATACTATTTTCAAGGCTTATGTCCAAACTGATCATACGGATATGCGCATTTGGAAAAATTGGGCGCAGCATGTACATGCTGATGACAAAATTTACAGTGATGGCCAAATGTTATTAGAACACTAGTATTTTCACCAGCTAAAATGGTTTTAAATCAGTTATTTCTATCTTTTGCTGTAGTGTGTCATTAGGAAATATCAGTTTACATTTCCAAACATTCATTTTGCCATTAATTGCAATAATCCAGTGAGATTTATCCTTGTGCAAACAAAAATCTCACTGGATTATTACAATTAATGCCAAAATGAATGTTTGGAAATGTAAACTGTTATTTCCTGACACACTACAGCAAAAGATAGAAATAACTGACTTAAAACCATGTTTTAGCTGGTGAAAATACTAGTGTTCTAATAATTTTGGCCACCACTGTATGTCAACTATACTTTGAAATTTAAAGACACACTAAAGCCCAATGTATCTTATTTTTAACCTAAAAGTGCGCACCTCAAGCAACGCTACAGGAGACTGTGAAATTTATCTCCATTGACTTGTAGATTGCACTGTTGTCATTTGACTGTCCTTCTCGCTGTAATAAGCTTTAAAGGCAGTAAGTGAAATGAAAAGCTGTGTTATTTAAAGGATAATATTTCATAGAGGACAGGCAGTAGAAAAGATGTGGGGGTTACTTCACAATTCAGACTGAGAAACAAAGGGAAAGACAGACTGAAAGGAACAAAGACTGCCAGTGAGATGAATGAAAGATAATACCTGACACACAGACAGCGAGACAAGAACCTTCAGTTAAGCAACAAAGAGCCAAGAGACTCCAGCATTGGATAATGCACTGAACAACAAACCAAACCAGAAAGCAAACCAAAAATTCACCTAAAACTCTAAATTGCTGAGAGTGAATTTCCCAGATATATGATTTTAAAGGTATATTTAATTTGAAAAAGTCATATAAGTCATTGTTTATTCACCCTTTGCAAACTCAAAAAGAGATATTTTGAAGAATTCTCTCAGCGTTTTATATATATATATATATTGTTTAATATTTATTGAATATGATATTTTGGAAAGATGGTCCACCCCTAAATTGTAGTAATGACTTTAGTGATGCGACTATTTGATGGGGGAAGAATGAGGAGAAAGATTAACTGAATCAACAAAATAATGCATTTCCAGAGTAGAAATGTTCTGGAATATATAGATAGGTGAACAGCATTCACAATGTTATATTTGGCATGAACTGACAAAATGAAACTATGTGTGAAACTCAATGTAAAATGTCCATAATGGGCTTATAAAGTACAGTAAATGTATAATTTGATCACATACTGTATGTGTTCAATATAAGCTCACTATGTGAGTGGTTCTCAACTTCAGCCCTGGGGACCCACATTTTCTAAGTCGTCCTTATTTAACACACTTGATTCAGATCATAAGCTCAATAGCAGAGAGCTCCAAGAACTGAACTGAGTGTGTCAGATAAAGTCTTGCGTATACTTCTTTTTTTGTGTCCGCACAGCTTGCGAAGTATACTCAACCGCTAGATGAGCGCCGATGTCCAAGTTCGACATATGCGCAGTACCCTCGATCTGTGTCAGCATCACACGCTTGTGCTGTTGTACGCGGTGGCACCAGTTTGCATTTACACTAAAGAATCTCAGCCAACTTTGTCAATTTTCCAGAACTAAAGCTCAGTGTAAATGCAGCATATGAGAAAACAAACAAACAAACATGGATTTGGACTTAATAGGGTTGCTTATATTAATTTTGCATGGCAAAAATATTTCATGGTAACAAAGTTTCATTGTTGAAATTATTGTCACATGGTATCTGTTTTTATGGATTTTTATTATGCAATTACTCGTGGACTTTTAGCTTGCATTCTGTCTCTTTCTGTGTATTATACCTGTTAATCTGTTCCCTTGGCTTCTCATGATTATTGCTTATATCTTGTTTTGTTTCTCACCTTACTCAGTAAAAATTCAATTTAAAATGTCTAAATTGTAGGGGTGCAACCGATCGTAGATGATCCGTGATCGGTACGGACCAGGCCCCACGGTTCGGCACGCATGTGATTCGCGGATTAACTGTTAAGTTTAACCATCATAGAATGAAAGTTTATCATTTGCACATGTTTTGTCTTGCCAATGTAAACATTCAAGCTATTTAAACTCGCGCGCTGTTTTATGTACGCACACGCAGAGAGAGAGAGACACCGCGTGAACAGCGAATTGATTCCTCTTTCACATACACATAAAGTTATGATACAATACCCGTTTTGGCAAGTATTCTAGTAAAAACAGTCAGTTGTCTTAAGTGAATGTAAACAGCTGAGAAAGAAACTGGATGTGTGTCAATATTAGGTCCGTGCATTTGGTCTTAAAGAGACAGCAGCCAATAAATACCTGCTTCTGCTAATCAAATAACACCACAGCTCTAACGAAGCTAGAAGTGATCCGTTGCACCACTACTAAATTGTGGGGTGTTTTGTAACCCAAAATGAATGTATATAGGCTAATGAATCTATTCTTTGTCAGTCTTTGTTATAATGAGCTTAGTTAAACGGCTATGTTTTGTTTACCTCTGGTGCCTTTATTCTTTTCATTTAATAAATATAATGCTGCGTTTAGATCCTTAACAACTTTCTTGCCTGCAATCCATGGCAATTATATGACAAAGAAAAAATTTGAAATTAGCTAGTTTGAATAGCTTCGAAAACTTTTAGGCCCCAAAAAGCCCAAAATCACTGGACTTAACGACTACAGACCTGTCGCTCTCACGTCTGTGGTCATGAAGTCACTTGAGAGACTGGTCCTGGCCTACCTGAAGGACATCACTGGACCCTTACTGGATCCTCTTCAGTTTGCCTACAGAGCATTTACAGAGGAATTACACAAGGATCCTATTTGTGGACTTCAGTTCGGCCTTTAATACCATCATGCCTGACCTTCTCTCAGACAAACTCACACAGCTCTCCATGCCCACCTCCATTTGTCAGTGGATCACCAGCTTCCTGACAGACAGGGAGCAGCTAGTGAGGCTGGGCAAACTCACATCCAGGACTATCACCATCAGCACTGGCGCCCCCCAGGGATGTGTACTCTCCCCACTGCTCTTCTCTCTCTACACGAATGACTGCACTTCAAAGGACCCCTCTGTCAAGCTCCTGAAGTTCACAGACGACACTACAGTCATCGACCTCATCAAGGACAGAGACGAGTCTGCTTACAGACAAGAGGTTATAAAGCTGGCTGTCTGGTGCAGTCTTAACAACCTGGAGCTTAACACGCTCAAAACTGTGGAGATGATCGTGGACTTCAGGAGAAAACCCCCTGCACTCCCCCCACTCACCATCATGGACAGCACTGTGATTGCAGTGGAGTCATTCAGGTTCCTAGGCACCACTATCTCTCAGGACCTGAAGTGGGACACTCACATAGACTCGATTGCTAAAAAGGCCCAGCAGAGGTGTTCATCCATAATTGTCTGGTTTGGTTCAGCTACAAAATCAGACATCAAGAGACTACAACGGACAGTCAGGACTGCTGAGAGGATTATTGGTGCCCCTCTGCCCAGCCGCCAAGATCTTTACATCTCCAGAGTGAGGAAAAGGGCTAAAAAAATCACCTTGGACCCCTCATCCCCAGCCCACTCTCTCTTCGAACTGTTGCCTGCTGGTCGGCGCTACAGAGCACTGACCACCAGAACAGCCAGGCACAAGAACAGTTTTTTCCCGCTGGCTATATTCAGCCTGAACAATTAATCTTTCATAATTATACATCGTCGTCCATCTCAACTAACATAGTTATCTGACATATTTATATTAAACTGCACACTTTATAAATAACATATCTGTACAATAACATATCTGTACATTTATCTAAACAATTAAATTTTTTCCTATACTTCTAATTCTGTATATAGTACATTTTTTATATAATAATTTTTCTTTTTTTTTATTATATTAGTGTTATATTACATCCCTACTGTGTTATTCCTATGTATGTCTGATAAACGTGATTCTGGCAACATTTTATTACATTGGCTGTTGTACATATTGTGGCAGCTCCGAAATAAAATGTCCAGTGAAAAGCTTTATTGCATTAGAAAATAATGCATCACCTACTCTAAACCCCACCAACAGTTTTAACAAACACAAATTTAAAGATTGATTTATTTGCTAAAGCAACCACATCATTTTAGTTTGTCTTTGAGCTCTTTTATTTTGACTCGCGTGTCACAGAACACATACCCAAGAGCTTCAAATCACAAGTGCAACCCTGCACCTGCAGTTGAGCTACCAAGTACATACACTATATCAGGAAAGCCATACATATGGAGCTGGTTATGTGATGCACGCAAACATCAAAATGTATTCGTTTACAAATCATGTGTTGTGGTAAAAGCATTTTGAGGTCTGGATGATAATGATAACATGTGATAAGTCTTTTTTTTTTTACTGATAATCTGTCCCTGTAGTCAATTTGTTTGAACAGGAATAAAAATTGTTGGCATTTTGTTGCCTCTAGTGTTCATTTGAGCTGGAAACTGCCGTAAATTGTATGTAGAATACATTTTTGGAGTTCTGCAATAAATGTAGGTAGAAGCACATTTTTCCAATGATCCTGGCTTGGATTTTTTTGATGAGATCAGAATGATGTTGGTGACAGAGTTGGGTGGCGAGCCTACGATTCCCTGGGTATTTGTTCATATAAACTGCTTCACAAGCAAATGTATGGCGTAAAGACCTTACACAGCACATATACGAACAAAGACACGATACTATGAGTACGGGAGATAAAGGGAGCGTGCGATGCGGTAAAAAAAAAAGCGTAACCGTGCTGCAGTCAAACACGTTAAAGTTGTAACTTTTGTGTTTTGTGAACGTACGTACTGCAGAAAGCGTGCGTAATGAAGCATTAGTAAGCGCCGCAACGAATGCTCTTTAACATGCTGCAGTCTTTGTATGGCCCTCCTCCATTGGTTCCCTTTAGAGCCCTACAACGTGTTCATACTGCCGCACAATGGACTGAATCTTTGAATACGTACCTACTCACGTATATTTACTAACATCTTACGAATACACATACATAAACGAAACACAGATAGAGAGATGATAAGAACGATAATACAGGTAAACCTTATTGTAACTTCTTTTGTTCATTTGCTCAAATGAGAAAGAAGAAGAGTAGCAGCAGCCTCCATCAGACAGCAGAAAAAAAGCTTCACCACACACCACTGGAAAGAGCTATTCAACAATATATTTATGTTTATGTTACCATGTTGTTATATATAGGCCTTATGCATTCATTAAATAAAAACAAAGAGTAATGTAATTCAGACATAAGATAGAGCGTTAAAGGCGTTATAATTCATTTATAACTCACCTTTACATTAATGTCTTTCATTTTTTCCTGCCGTGCTTTCGGCAACGGGTCCGAGACACGGGACATCGCGAGAAAATGGAAACTTTATCAATAGCAGTCGGACTATATAAAATCCAGATGTTGAATCGTGTTCAGAAAATAAGCATCCAGTGCGTGAAGTAATATGGGAAATATACATGTGCATTAAAGCTTCATTCAGTCTCACATGAACTGTGTGTTTAATAAGACACACAAGGTTTTTTTTTCTTACACAGGAAACTCCACAGCCTTTATGAGATACTGACCCGAATCAGACTTTCAACCAATAGCAGTCGTGTATTTCTCTGACTGACAGCCGCTTGACCAATCAGATTTGCCA